AACAGGTAGTGCGCCAGCCAGTCATAGCGAACGGTGCGGTTGTAGCGTTCGATGTAGGCGTTCTGCTGCGGCTTGCCGGGCTGAATGAATTCGACATGAATCCCACGCCGGCTTGCCCATGCCATCAGCGCCGCACTGACGTACTCGGGGCCATTGTCACAACGAATCCGATCCGGCCTGCCGCGCCATTCGATGATCTGCTCCAGTGAACGGATGACACGTTCGGACGGCAGCGAGAATCCGACTTCAATATCGAGCCCCTCGCGGTTGAAGTCGTCGATCACATTGAACAGCCGGATGCTGCGGCCGTCTGACAGCTGGTCATGCATGAAGTCCATCGACCAGACTTGATTGACGGCTGTCGGTTCGGCCAGCGGCGCCGGCTTCTCGCGCACCAGGCGTTTCTTCGGCTTGATGCGCAGGTTCAGTTCCAGCTGCCGGTAGATCCGGTACACCCGCTTGTGATTCCAGCTGAACCCTTTGACGTTACGCAGGTACAAAAAACACAGGCCGAAGCCCCAGTTGCGCTGGTTGGCCGTCAGACGAATCAGCCAGTTGGCGATCTCGCTGTTCTCTGAAGACAGTTTGGCTTGATACCGATAACAGGTCTGGCTGATGCCGAACGCCTGGCATGCTGCCCGAATGCTCACAGCCCTCTCTTGTACTGCCCATTGCGCCATCTCGCGTCGTCGAGATGGCGCTACCACTTTTTTTGCAGTGCCTCGGCGACGATCTCTGCCTTGAGCCGCTCTTCGGCGTACATCTTCTTCAGACGCCGGTTCTCTTCTTCGAGCTCCTTGAGCCTGGCCATCATCGATGCATCCATGCCGCCATAGCGGCTGCGCCATTTGTAAAACAGCGCCGAACTCATCCCGTGTTCACGGCACAGCTCGGGGACCGGCGTGCCGGCTTCGGCTTGCTTGAGAATGGCGATGATCTGGCTTTCCGAAAAACGCGACTTCTTCATGTAAAACTTCCTCGTTTCTGATTGGAGAAAATTCTACTTTCAAATCCGCTTCTTTTTCGGGGGGATTACCGATCT